AAGCACATTTTTTTCAGAGTGTCTCTCCAATGGGATCTTGGCACCTCCTAGGCACCAGGGATCCCAGTCAAGGTGGTGTGGGGCGGGATGAGGCTCGGGAACGGAATTTCCCCTTTATGCTTCCTTTTCGACTTTGTCAAGAACTATCTGTATGTGGCAAGTGATGGGTGGAGCTGAACGTGAACAGTAGAAAGGAGTGGTTCTCAGTTGTGAGGGTCTTGTACAAATATGAGATTTCCACCCTTTTCCCCCCTTTCCTGGTCAAATTAAGAACTACGCAGTTGACAATCACAGCTTCCCAGCATTGTCAAGAGAATGGAGGCATGTGCCTTTAATCTAAATAGCTGTGGGGTTTCTTTACAACTGGAGGCATCGCCTTGCTCAGATCCTGGAAGTATGGGCTATATGCTGTCCAAAGCAAACCAGAGTCTTCCCCAAATTCACGGATAGACAGGATACTGAGTTACCTGGCAATGAAACTCCTGAACACAAACCCCTTACTTTTCTGTAAGGCAAAGAGCTTGTCCTTCTACTTGGAAAGGAAGTTACATTTCATCTTCCAGTGTAAATAGGACTTGGTCTTCCTGCAGATTAATCTATTAATCCATGGCATGGTGAGAACCCAGCTGAGAAAGACCCCAAAGGTCTAAAATTTCATTCACTTTTCATGCGAGTGAAGTGATGGGAACTTGGTGTACAAATTGAGGGTTTGAAACTCTTTCTTTTTTGAGACAAGGTCTTGCGCTTGCCCCGGCTGGAGTGCAGTGGTATAAACACGGCTCACTGCAGCCTCAACCTCCTGGGCCAAGTGATTCTCTTGCCTCAGCCTCTCATGTAGCCGGGATCACAGGTGTGTGCCAGCACACCCAGATAATTTTTATTTCCTTTTTTGTAGAAACAGTAATCTCACTTTGTTTCCCAGGCTGTTCTCAAACTCCTGGGCTCAAGTGATCTTCCTGCCTTGGCCTCTCAAAGTGTTGGGATTACAGACATAAGCCTCTATGCCTGGATGGATGAGTGTTATAAACTTTTTTTTGTTTTTGAGGTGGAGTCTCTCTCTGTCTCCCAGGCTGGAGTGCAGTGGCACAATCTCAGCTTACTGCAACCTCTGCCTCCCGGGTTCAAGAGATTCTCCTGCCTCAGCCTCCCGAGTAGCTGGGATTATAGGCACATACCAACATGCCTAATTTTTTGTGTTTTTAGTAGACAGAGGGTTTCACCATGTTGGTCAGGGTGATCTTGAACTCTTGACCTGGTGATTCACTCGCCTCAGCCTCCCAAAGTGCTGGGATTATAGGCATGAGCCACAGAGCCCAGCCGGTAAGTGTTGAAAACTCTTAAACCCATGTACACACAAACTGTGCAGTCTGGGTCACCTCATTTGTGATCGTGCTTACAGACAGAGAAGAGAAAATATTTTGCGAGAGAGTTTGTTTTCCACAGAACCAAAAGGTTATCACAGGGAAGAAGTCAGCAGTGTCACCAAATTAGATTATAATAATCTTTAAGGTCATGAGGCAATGTCTTGCTCATCTTTGTGAACCCTCAAATTATAGCATAGCAAAAGCACACACGTATTTGTTGAACAGATCATAATATAAAGAGTTGCTATTTGCCTTTTGGATTTTATAAAAGAAGGATTGAGGGAGAGAATCAACAAAAACTACACAGGAATGAAGGCTATTGAATAAGTTATTCCTAACCTGTGAAGTCTGCATAACAATGAGTTTCTGGTCAAATTCAGTTGTCTCATGGGAATGACTTCAGATTTCCCATTATTATTCTCAGTACTAGTGGTAGTATTCTTTACGGTGGAATATGCAGCGACCATTATTACACTTAACGTGCACCAGTTAGGCCATTTATGTACATTTTTGCTAAACTTTGCAATAACAAGATGGACCATTTTACAGTTACAGAAACTGAGGTTACAGTTGCCGAAGGTCAGAGGATCCTGTCTCCACTGACAGTGTCAATTTCTCCACTGCCAAGCAGTGAAACTGGTAAAACAATCTCCAGTTGTTCAGCTTTATTAGTTTGCTGAGAACTTAATTGGAGGACACATGGTAATGGTTTTGGCAATCATTTAAGAGATCTGATGCTTTGAAGAAAACAGTTTTTTTGAGCAAGCAAACAAATTAAATAACCTTTTATCTTAAGCCATCTTGGGCATTTTGCACAACAACAAAAATGTTTCTAGTTTTGAAGTTCCCCTGTAATTTGGGCTGAATGCATCTTCTCAAGCCCCATAAATCATGCTAATATTTGTCCTGCACGACAAGGCAATTAATATTTGTCCTGCACAACAGTATGAGGCAACGCGTAGACTGGCTAAGAGACGATCCTCATTCTTAAGGAGCTTGCAGGCTAGTTGGAAAGAAAGGACGTATTCATTAAGCAATTTTAGACTATTTAAACACTAAAGGCCATTTTTTAAAAACCCTGAAAATAAGGGTTTTTGCCAAAGCAGAGTCAGAGCAGACTTGGAATAAACTGGAAACAGACCTCGAAGGACCTTCTGGCTAGTGCTGGCTGGGGAAGAAAGGTTCCATGGGCAGAAGCGTCACTCCCTGGGAAGGCGTATGCAGTGGCAGGGCTCAGCAGCCTCTGGGCAGTGTGAAGTTCTGCTGCCTGGGGTGTGCAGGAAATTTGAATATTCTGCTGGGATTCCTGCTGGAAATCAAAGTAAAATTCTTTTTTAATTATTATTATTATTTTGAGATGGAGTCTCGCTCTGTTGCCCAGGCTGGAGTGCAGTGGTACAATCTTGGCTCACCACAACCTCCGCCTCTTAATCCTCAGGACCTTGGGGCCAGATCCTGACCTTCTAGACTTGGCCTGAGCCCCAGGCCTGCCCCTTCCCTGGCCCTCCTTCTGTTTCTTCCTCTTCTCTCCACAAGGTGGAACGCAGGAGGCAGGACTTCTGAGAGCTGAGGGGGCTGAGGTCTCAGGTGATGAGGGAGAAGTCTCGGTGTTCAAGGAACGTAGCCTTGGGTGGTGGGAAAAGGCTTCCCTCCTTCCCTCTGTGATGATCCCTTAGTGTAAAACACCTGATTCCTCCCTCTCTCCCTTACTTTCCTCCTCTCACTCCCTTATTGATTGGTAAAATCATGTCTAATCACCAGGCTACACCATCGAAAGAACATCTTCTCATTTTCTAGAAAACTTTTACTCTGTCCTTTCTGGTCACACCTACAACCTCTCTGGGCCACCAACTTGCCCCAGGTTGCTCCGACTCTAGCAGGAGCTTCCCTCTTCTAGAAAGTTCCCTGCGGGCATGACGCTCTCTGTCTTGGCATACAGGACCCACTGCCATCCCCTCCTGGGGCCCGTCAGAAGTAAGTAGACCTAGTCATTGTATGAAATTTGGTTTCACAGGCTGCCAGAAAGAACTTTAGTTCCCTTCCTGAATCTGGAGGGAAACAATTCACATACAATCACAACTTACACTCCAGAACATGAATCCAGTTGCCTGATGGGCCACAAAAGGCCGTGCTCTCACACCCAAGTCGGGGGCCCTCCCTGGCTTTATCCCTGTGTTACCAGCTGGCTACATCTACTTGTGAACTTTCTAAGCTGTCTCAAGAAGATGAGCCAGGCAAATGGTCTTGGGGAATTTTGGCCAGATATTCATGATGTAAGTGCCTTGTAAACCCAAGAACTTATAGAGAGGCATGGAATATACTAGAACTTTTCCTACACATTCACATGCACTGACACTAAATACACGTGAAGAAGAAACTCAGAACTGTATCAATTAGCAGCCCAATTCAACATGTGGATTCAAAAAAAATGTTCGTCCAGTCCACAATAGCACCCCAGCTACTGTCTTCTGTGAATATCATCCCAACACGGTGCAGGGTAGGGAGAAGGAAAGAAAACGGCGTATGGTTCCCAGATGCTTGCAACCTTTCTATACAGGCATGTCTGCTAATAAACCTGACGATAGAAATATGCAGGCATTATACAAAATATGCTGTGATTCAAACCTGGATGAGGACTTGGGAGGCAGGGCCATCGTATGTCCCAGCTGTGGCTCTTGACCGTGTTAGCAGCCAGCCCATCCCAATACCTGTGGATTGGAACCTAGAACTTCTTAGCAAGGCTGGGCGCAGTGGCTCACGCCTGTAATCCCAATGCTTTGGGAGGTCGAGGCGGGTAGATTACCTGGGGTCAGGAATTTGAGACCAGCCTGGCCAACATAGTGAAACCCCTGTCTCTTACTAAAAATACAAAAATTAGCTGGGCGTGGTGGCGGGTGCCTCTAATCCCAGCTACTTGGGAGGCTAAGGCAGGAGAATTGCTTTCACCTGGGAGGCAGAGATTGCAGTGAGCCAAGATCATGCCACTGCACCCCAGCCTGGGCAACAAAGCAAGACTTTGTCTAAAAAAAAAAAAAAAATAGACAAAACTTCTTAGCAAAAGGAAAGATCCCTCCCTTCAGCCTCTGCATCCCAGGTATCATGGGCGCTCATGAAGGAGGCTCTTTTCTTTTCTTTTTTTTTTTTTTTTTTTGAGATGAAGTCTCACCCTGTCGCCCAGGCTGGAATGCATTCGCACATCTCAACTCACTGTAACCACCGCCTCCCAGGTTCAAGCGATTCTCCTACCTCGGCCTCCCAAGTAGCTGAGACTACAGGTATATGCCACCATACCCAGCTAACTTTTGTATTTTTGTAGAGATGGTGTTTTACCATGTTGGCCAGGCTGGTCTTGAACTCCTGACCTCAGGTGATGCTATGAAGGAGGAATTATTATTTCCATGTAGCACGTAGGGAAACTGAGGCTTAGAGAGGTGAAGTGATTTTCCCAAGCTCACATGGTTACATGAAACCAGGTTTCAAATCCAGCTCTTCTATGACCTCCCGAGTCCTTTCTCTAGACGTCCCTTCCACCTAGCCCCGCCCCCTGCTATTGCTGGGCCCTTTGAACATTCTTTATGTGGAAGACATTTTCCTATAAACTAAATAATTATTGAAAAGATTTTGTATCTTTCGCAGACCAGGCACCAATGGCTTTATCAAGGAAGAGGAGGCCAAACCTGAGGAGATTTACAGTCAGCCCAGAATCACACAGCGTGAGAGCATCTGGGGACAGGAGCAGACAGAAACCACAGTGGCCGGCAAAGGGGCTGGTCCCTGGGGGAGCAGGTAAGGACCCAAGGCTGTGGCACCTTGGTCCTCAGAGCAGAGGACTGGCTTTTGCTGTTACCCAGTGAATTCTTCATGGGTTTTAGATACTTGTACTTTTAAGTGAATGGGGCATGTACCTTAAAACGAAACAGTTTTAAAAGCAAATTGTGTGATTCTAGGTTTTTTTTTTTCCTCCAAGAGAGGCTGGTAGGAAAAGGGGAAGGCAGGTGGGGTGGGGGGGGCGGTTATCTTTTTCTCTCCTGTAACTCCATGAGCGTGACTGGTTTTGAGTGGACCCCAGCTGTACAGCTGCTCTGGAGGGCATTTGGGTGGTGGATGGCAGGAGCTGGGGAAGGCAGAGAAGCAGGTCTGCAGCGCTGGGAGATGTCTCACCTGGCGCTAGTTCCCACTCAGTTCTTGGGATGGGGGAAGATGCGTGTCTGTGGGTGACAGGCTGTTTACCTCCCATGTTGATCTTCTCCCCTCTGACACAGGGCACCAAACTCAGCAAGGTCACAATGTGTGAGAAATACACAACATTGGGAGGATCTATGCTTTATTCTCAAACATTGGTTTGGTGGATCACCCCCTTGGGACTCATGGAAAGCAACACTTCACAGTCAACCTGGCCACGGACCCGTCCTTTCTCTTAGGAAACCACCGAGCGTCACACTTTGTCATGAACAATGAACATAGTTGCCTTTGTTTTATTTTTTTAATCGTATTCATTTATTCTGAGACAGAGTCTCGCTCTGTTGCCCGGGCTGGAGTGCAGTGGCACCATTTCGACTCACTGCAACCTCTGTCTCCTGGGTTCATGCAATTCACATGCCTCGGCCTCCCAGGTAGCTGGGACTACAGACGCTCACTACCACGCCCAGCTAATTTTTTGTATTTTGGTAGAGACAGGGTTTCACCATGTTGGCCAGGATGTTCTCAAACTCCTGGTCTCAGGTGATCCACTTGCCTTGGCTTCCCAAAGTGCTAGGATCATAGGCATGAGCCACAGCACCCGGCCTGCCTTTGTTTTTAAATGTGATGTAGATGGTGATGGACATACACAAATATAGAAGAACATGTCAGTATTCTGATGGCTTGGAATCTGCATATATGAATCTGCAGCAAGGAGGTGTCCACAGGGGTCCCAGTAATCCAATACCTTCTGCCGGGAAGGGCATGAGCTTTAAGGCAGCCTTCAGTTCTAATGCCAGCTCTCCCTCCTAGCAATGGCATCTTGGATGCTAAAGTAGCCACTCTGGGCAATAGTTCCTTTATCTTAAAATAAGGACAATGAAATCTACCTCATTGCATTGTTATAATAACTAAGTAAAATAATACACTGACCAGCACCCAGACAGAATAGGTCCACGCGGTGGGCACTGAACTCTTGATAATTTCTCTTCTGCCAACCACCCTTAATGAACTGTGGAATAGTATTTGAAAGGTAAGGTTCGCCAGGCAGGGTGGCTCACACCTGTAATCCCAGCACTACAGGAGGTCGAGTCGGGAGGATCACTTGAGTCCAGGAGTTTGAGACCAGCCTGGCCAACATAGTGAAACCCCATCTCTACAAAAATAAATAAATAAATGCAGAAATTAGCTCAGGAGATCAAGGCTGCAGTGCCCTGTGAACATGCCACTGCACTCCAACCTGGGCAACAGAGTCAGACACTGTCAAGAAAGAAAGAAAGAAAAAAGAAAGAAAAAAGAAAAGAAAGAAAAAGAAAGAAAGAAAGAAAGAAAGAAAGAAAGAAAGAAAGAAAGAAAGAAAGAAGGAAGGAAGGAAGGAAGGAAGGAAGGAAGGAAGGAAAGAAAGAAAGGGAAGGAAGGGAAGGAAGGGAAGGAAGGGAAGGAAGGGAAGGAAGGGAAGGGAAGGAAGGGAAGGAAGGAGGGAAGGAAGGGAAGGAAAGAAAGAGAAAGAAAGAAAGAAAAAGAAAGAAAGAAAGAAGGCCGGGTGCGGTGGCTCAAGCCTGTAATCCCAGCACTTTGGGAGGCCGAGGCGGGTGGATCACGAGGTCAAGAGATCGAGACCATCCTGGTCAACATGGTGAAACCCCGTCTCTACTAAAAATACAAAAAATTAGCTGGGCGTGGTGGTGCGTGCCTGTAATCCCAGCTACTCAGGAGGCTGAGGCAGGAGAATTGCCTGAACCCAGGAGGCGGAGGTTGCGGTGAGCCGAGATCGCGCCATTGCACTCCAGCCTGGGTAACATGAGTGAAACTCTGTCTCAAAAGAAAAAAAAAAAAAAGAAAGAAAGAAAAGAGAAAAGAAAGGGGGGCTTCTCTACGCGTAAAATGTTCCTTGACCCATGGGATTCATATGATGGGACAGGGATGACTCCTGTCTGCACCCAGGAGTCATCCCCCTCATCCTGTGATCTGATGAAAATTCATCCCAATGTTCCATTATCCCCCAGGCTCCTTATCTCCCCCAGTTATTTCCTCATAAGTCCCCACTCTACTTCTTTTCTCACATTCTCAAGGGCTTTGCACAAAATGGAGTAGGAGCCAGATACTTGAATTGTATTAATGAAAGATTCCAAGCAAATGTGACAGAGATAACATGCAGAAAGCTCTTGCAAATCCATAAGAAAAACACGAATACCTAATAGAAAAATAGGGAGGGAGGCTGGACACAGTGGCTCACGCCTGTAATCCAAGCACTTTGGGAGGGCGAGGTGGGCAAAGCACCTGAGGTCAGGAATTCGAGACCAGCCTGGCCAACATGGTGAAACCCCATCTCTACAGAAAATACAAAAATTAGCTGGGCATGGTGACACATGCCTGTAATCCCAGCTACTCGGGAGGCTGAGGCAGGAGAATCATTTGAACCCAAGAGGTGGAGGTTGCAGGGAGCCCAGATTGTGCCACAGCACTCCAGCCTGAGCGACACAGTGAGACTTCATCTCAGAAAAAAAAAAAAAAGAAACAAAAAAATAGTTTCATTGTTTTATTCACTGATGAAATACACGTGGCTAATAAACATTTTTTAAAAGTTCATCTGGAAATAGCATAGGTCATATTTTTTAAAAAGTTCAACCTCAGAAGGTAATAAATGTAAACCTACATGACATAAATTTGGCCTACCAATTTGACTAAGGTTTTTAAAATGATACCTAATACTAGTAGTGAAACTAACAACGAGCATTCCTGGGCTCTGCTGTGTCTATGCTGCTCATGTGGATTGCCAGTGACAGCTACAAGAGAGACACTTTCATAGCCTCTACCTGTTGGGTCATTTGGTAAAAACTCTCTGGAAAGGAAGCTGGCAACATGTGTCAAAGCCTCTTGCAAGTTCATACCTTTTGACCTAGCAATTTCACTCCCACGGATCTAGTCTAAGTAAAGAAGATAGATGGTCAAAGATGGATGAGCAAGGGTATTTATCACATTGTAATTGCGGCCAGTTAAACCTCAAAGCAACCTATATACCCAACAATAGGGTTAACAAATTACAATATATACTTTTATACTATAATTAATATCATGTTCTTAAAGAATAACTAGGCGGGACACAGTGGCTTATGCCTATAATCCCAGCACTTTGGGAGGCTGAGGTGGGGGGATCAGGAGGTCAGCAGATTGAGACCATCCTGGCTAACACAGTGAAACTCTGTCTCTACTACAAATATAAATAATTTAAAAAAAAAAAAAAAAACAGGTGTGGTGGCACATGCCTGTAGTCCCAGCTACTTGGGAGGCTGAGGTGGGAAAATCACTTGAACCCGGGAGGCAGAGGTTGCAGTGAGCCAAGATTGCACCGCTGCACTCCAGCCTGGGCGACAGAGCAAGGCTCCATCTCAATCAATCAATCAATCAATCAAGGCCTGGCATAATGCTCATAATAAAATATTCAAAGAAGAAAGCAAGACATAAAATTGTATGTACACAAATATTTCAATTTTGTTTTTTAAGAAATATTTCTAGATAAGAGAGCCCCGGGTTATAAATTCAGATGCCTTCAGGGAGCAGACGGATTATAGCAGGAGAGATGCACAGCGGGTTATGGAGCCTGTGGTAAGCTACAGTACACACTTTCCACCTGAAAGCAGTAAATTCATTGTCCAAGTACTGAGCCATGGCTAGACATAGCGTGGCTTATGCCTATCATCCCAGCTTGGGAGGCCAAGGCGGGAGGATTGCTTGAAGCCAGAAGTTCGAGACCAGCCTGGGCAACAAAGTGAAACCCCCCCATCTCTAGAAAAAACAATTTAGATTAGCCAGGTGTGGTGGCATGCATCTGCAGTCCCAGCTGAGGCAGGAGGATTGTTTGAGCCTAGGACTGCACTCCAGTGTGGTTAACAGAGCAAGACACTGTTTCAAAAGAAGAAAGAAAAGAAAGAAAGGGGAAAGGAGGGAGGGAGGGAGGGAAGGAAGGAAGGAAGGAAGGAAGGAAGGAAGGAAGGAAGGAAGGAAAGAGGGAGGAAGGCAGGGAGGAAAGGAGGGAGGGAGAAGGAGGGAAGGAGGGAAGGAGGAAGGAGGGGAAGGAGGAAGGGAGAGCGGGAAAAAAAATGCTGAGCCAAAGCACAATTGCAGGATGAAAGCAGCCCTGGGGTCTTGAGTAGGCAACCCACCCCTGAGCTCCAGAACAATAGCAATGATCATCTAAGTTTTGGATTATGGGGGATTTTTATTTTCTTCTTCATCCTCTTCTATAGTTTCCAAATTTATTCTCTGATATTCATAAACCACTTTTATAACCAGAAGGAAAATAATTAAAAGTATATGGCTGTTGGAATGCAGGAAATTATTGGTCAAGCACACCAAGAAGTCGAGACCAAAGGCATAGTCTTAGGGCAGACAGATGCTTGCTCTGGTTCATTCTGCTGCCCTAGAACTCCTGGAGACAGAGGCACTTCACTCACAGCTGGAGCCCAGGGCCTCAGAGAAGCATTTGCAGCATCTGCAGGGCCTGGTCTATGAATAGCACATCCCTGGCATACCAATGTGCCTGTCTATTCCCAGCCCTAGAGCTCCTGAAATCTGCTCTCTATTTGATAGACATTAAAAAAAATAGGGTTAAAATAGCATAAATCAAGAATGGCACAGTCTGCCACCTTTAGGGGAAACACACACATACAGGCGCGCGCACACACACACACACACACACACACACACACACACACTGCAGAGAAGCTCTGATTGAATTTTTAAAGAGGAAGACCATTGTGGCGACAAGGCAAGGGTGAGGATGCGCCCCCTGCATGTTTCAGGAAGCCACAAGAGCCACAGCACAGCGCATATCCTGGGACTGCTCCTGCCCCCCAGGCCAGCATCACCCCGTGACAACTCGGTGGCCTCTATGAGATGAGCTAATGGCTCCCGTTAAGCCTCCGGTTTCTGTTTTTCAGAGCGGCCCTTGCTGATTCTTTTGCCCATTGAATGTTTCTCCTCCCGGGGATGGGTCACGAGTGTTCAGGGAATGACAGAAAGGTTCAGGTTCCAGCCGTGTAAGCTCACCTCCAAGGCCCTCCATCAAATTCAAAACAAAAAGTCATCTGCCAGAGCCGACACTGCCGCCTCCTCTAGATCCCTTTTCTATGTTGTTGATTTATGTGTGTATTTATTTATTTAATTTTTTTTGAGACGGAGTCTGGCTCTGTTGCCCAGGCTGGAATGAAATGGTGAGATCTTGGCTCACTGCAACCTCTGCCTCCCAGGTTCAAGTGATCCTCCAGCCTCAGCCTCCCAAATAGCTGGGATTACAGGTACGCACCACTGCACCCAGCTAATTTTTAACAGAGATAGGGTTTTGCCATGTTAGCCAGGCTGATCTCAAACTCCTGATCTCAAGTGATCTGCCCACCTCAGCCTCCCAAAGTGCTGGGATTACAGGCTTGAGCCACCGCGCCCAGTCCCTTTTCCTATTTTAAAAAATCATCAGAATCCAGTTGCTTATATAGAAGCATTTGTTCCCCAAAATGGGGGTCAGCCCAGTCGCTACAAGCGCCACTGCCGTACTTCCACAGCCAGATACTCAAAGCATCCTTGAATTGCTGCTGCCTCTCTTACTGGGGTTTATAACACCCAGGAGGGGCCTGATAGGAGAGCTTAATTGATTTCTAGAAGAGCTGATGAGTAAAGATTCGTACTGCATTTCTGAGTGTCCCATGCAGTTAACAATAAAAGAAGCTGCCAGAGTGTTAGGACATTAGAGACTCTCACTGGTGCCTCCCTGTGAGGAGCCCCAATTAAAGTGAGACAGAACTGACTCGGCCCTTGGTGGAGCCCGATGCTCTGAGGATTTGCATTTCACCAGCCTGAGCTGTTATCAACACAGACCTTCCAGGGCCCGTGGAGTCCCGTCCACTCTACAGGGTGAACCGCTTTAGAAATGGAATGATAAAAAGAGCAGCATCTCATCAGATCCCACACAATAGCAGCGTGGAGAACAAAGCTGGGGGGAGGCCAATGTCAGGAAGGAATAAAGGTAAGTGGCATCAGGGAAGCACTGTCAGTTTCCTTCCCACATCGAGAGGGTAAAAGACCCTCAACAGCACACACACACCATGACAAATTTCAATGGCTTTTCGTTTTCGAAAGGAAATTGGAAGGCCAGCCAGTTTCTCAAGGGCTAGCACAGGGCAGTGGTTAAGAACACAAACCCTAGTATCAAGCAGGCGTGGATTCAAATGTTCACTCCATCACTTACTGGAAATAGGATCTTGGGCGAGTTATGTGACTGCCCTAGGCCTTGGTACTCTTAGTTATAATGTGTGATTGTGGTGCCTATTTCACAGGGTTGTGAAGCTTAAGAGTGTGTGTGTGTGTGTGTGTGTGTGTGTGTGAGAGAGAGAGAGAGAGAGAGGGAGAGAGATACAGTTAGCATGTCTCTGGCTGGTTCGGTGATTCTCTACAGGAATTCATAGTAAGGATTCTATGGTAGCCAGAAGTTACAAAATTGACCTGGGGCTAGTGACAAAGAGAAGATAATGACTTCATGAAAGATTTGTAATTTTTATTTTCACTAAATAGTAAACATGACCAAAATCCTCAGTGTGCCGGGGTGCGGGCTCCTAGAGCCTTCCTCCTGATCTGCCAAGATACACCATTCTTCTCTTAGGTTCTTGTAAAGCTGTGTGGGAAGCAGGTGTCATAAATGTATGTTGAATGAATTTGGATGAGAAGGGACTGGTTTTTGTAGAAGTCATTCCCAGAGTGCTGATTTCCCCTTTCAGTACGTATGGAACAAAAACCAGTATCTAGTGCAAGGTTTGCCCATCATCAGTCCTGACTGGCTGGGCCTAGGCCAGTCTTCCAGGAGCTTCTGCAGGAAGAATCTGTATCCTCAGGGTCACCCCATTTCCCTAGGACACAGGTGTCCAAAGGAACATGAGGGGCAGTAAAATGAAGCCTGCTGACCTTTGCTCCTCTTATACCTCCAGCCATTTTGACCATGCCTATCTTCTTCTCTAGGTCTTGATTGTTGCTTTTATTTATTTATTTATTTATTTATTTATTTACTGAGATGGAGTCTCACTCTGTCACCCAGGCTAGAGGGCAGTGGCACGATCTCAGCTCATTGCAACCTCCGCCTCCCAGGTTCAAGTGATTCTCCTGCCTCAGCCTCCCAAATAGCTGTGACTACAGGCACATGCCACCACACCTGGCTAATTTTTTTTGTATTTTTAGTAGAGACGGGGTTTCACCGTGTTAGCCAGGGTGGTCTCGATCTCCTGACCTTGTGATCCACCTGCCTCGGCCTCCCAAAGTGTTGGGATTACAGACGTGAGCCACCGTGCCCAGCCTGTTTGTTGCCTTTAAACGGCAATTTTGCACTTGCTGCCAGAGGCCTTCCAACCATGGGCCCTTTTACTGGAATGATAAATGTGTCTTTTCTCAATGCAGATCAAGTAGTTCAACAAGAAGTCCTGATGTGTGACACTAAGCTGAAGAGGCCAACTCGAGGGAGAGGAAACTGGCTCCCATTCTCGCAGCCAGTGACTGAGAACCCCCCTGATAGAGCCAAGAAAGGAGACCTAAGTGCTCCTTCCCAGAGTAAGCTGCATCCAGCCCTGCCCCAGGCCTGCCAAGGAACAAAGAGCTCTCTAGTATTGAGTGAGTCCTCGGGGCCACCACTCACACCCAGCACCACAGGAGGGCCAAGAACGGCATCATTTAGGTCCCGAGATGAGGATTTTTATTCCATTTTATCATTGAACAGCAGAAGAGAAAGCGATGACACTGAAGAGGAAACCGATGTTGAGGAACATCTGTGGGTTGGTATGCACTCACCCCGTTCCCCTTCCAATCACAAAAGAAGTAGATTTGGAGGGACATTGACCCCTCAGGCCAAAAATAAAAATTTTGAAGAAAATGCTGAAAATGGCAGAGGTCATTCTCTAAGAAGAAGTGCGCCCGGGCAGGGCTCATTAAGAATAAGCAGTGCAACGGAGCCAGCGACAGAGCGACATTCTGTCGGACAAAGGTTGTCCGAAGACCCCAGGCTGCCTGATAGGGCATCTGATAAAGAGGACAGAGGTGGCAGTGAAAATGCAAAAAAGAGCCCCCTTTCGTGGGACCCCCAATCCGAACCCAGACAAGAGGATGGTCTCAATACTGAAAATGCATGGAGTGACTGTATTTCTATGGAACATAGGCCTGGCACCCATGATTCTGAAAGAGATTGGCAAGACTCTCTAAGCAACTCTAGACGTTCTCCTGACTACTTTTGTTCTGGCAGACCAACATCTCCAGGATCATCAATGAATTCATCTTATAACCCTCCTGTATCATTCATGCATTCTGCTCTGAGAGATGATAGTCCCGTAGACTTGTCAATGTCATCGACTTCAATTCACAGCTCAGACTCAGAGGGAAACTCAAGGTTTCATGTTCCCCGACCACTGTCTCCCATTAGAAATAGAAATGCATTTGCCAGTGTTGAAAATCACAATTATTTCCCAGTAAACAGTGCACACGAATTTGCTGTCAGGCGAAGAGCAGAAGATATTACTTTGATAAGCCAACCTCAGGGGGCTCTATTATATACAGACTTCTTACTAAATCCACGGGGCCGTTTGTCCTTAGTGGATTCCTCCAACTCCTCTCCATCAAGAATGAACTCAGAAGTCCATTTGCATGTGTCTGGGTCATTGCAAGAAAATATACCATTTACTTTCTTTGCAGTGTCTGATTTCCCAAATCAAAATGATAGTGGGAACAGAATGGTAGCCTCTGGTTTCACAGATGAAAAGGAGATCAGTAAGATAAAGGCAGACCCTGAGAAACTCAAGAAATTGCAAGAAAGGTGAGGACTTTTCATCATTATATATTTTTTCCATTTTCCCAAGGCTGAAATTAGCATTGCTTTCATTTGAGAGCCAGGGAAATTTTAAGTCATAAATGGGTTCTTCCTTGACATTTTAGTGGTTGCTTATTTTGAGAAAATTGTCTGTTTTGTTGCTCTTAAAACATAATGGATTTATAAAAAAAAAAAAAAAGGGCCGGGTGCGGTGGCTCACGCCTGTAATCCCAGCACTTTGGGAGGCCGAGGCGGGTGGATCACGAGGTCAAGAGATCGAGACCATCCCGGTCAACATGGTGAAACCCCGTCTCTACTAAAAAAAAATACAAAAAATCAGCTGGGCATGGTGACGCGTGCCTGTAATCCCAGCTACTCGGGAGGCTGAGGCAGGAGAATTGCCTGAAACCAGGACGCGGAGGTTGCGGTGAGCCGAGATTGCGCCATTGCACTCCAGCCTGGGTAACAAGAGTGAAACTACGTCTCAAAACAAAAAAAAAAAAAAAAAAAAAAAGTTTGGTGTTCCTGATCAGTTTCTTTCATATTCCCGAAGTGTTTTTCCTTGAGTACCACAACTTCAAGGTAAGTTTGCTGGGTATAAGGATTTCTGACTGTTCCATAGGGCTTGTTCTCTCCAGCAAGGAAGAACCAAGATTTCTTACGAAAAGGTTGCTATCTCCCTAGAGAATGAACCATTCTTCACTTGAAGTTCACAGCTCTCCCTCACGAGACTTACCCCAAATCCAACCAATAGTTCTAGAATTTGAACCTTGCAACTAAAAGACCGTTCTCAGTTACCATAGTTACCTGAGTTCTCTGAAGGGCCATGCCGGGGTAACTGATACTTCTATTTTATGTGCTCTTTTTCATGCATGAGAGAAAGAGAAATAAGATCTTTTTTTGAATTGCCCTTTTCTTTGATCTTTCCTTTTTTGTGAGATGATTTGGGGATATTTCACAGCTAGGAAATTTGATACTTTGTAAAGCCATCATTAAACACCATGTCAGGATTCTACCATTTCATTTATGATAGGTGTTTACCATGCTCTGATCTTGGCTTACTGATGTGGAAATTGATTCTTGGAATGTGAGCCCTCTTTGTGTATATTAGCATGACTCATTTGGGCCACCATTTAGAAATGTAAAAAGGAGAGGAAGGTAGAACATAGGATGCATACATGTTCCTATTAATAAATATCACTGATCCAACTCCAGTAATGAGGTAACTTTCCAGTTAGCTGTACCTTTGCTTTTTCACATTAAGCTACCAGAAGGCAGACCCACGGTTACGGGCAAAAGACCTTACACCCACCAATCCTCACCTCTCCGGAAACACAGCTTCAGACCTACTTGTCAGAAGTCTAAGCTTCTAGCATCCCAAAGTGATGCCCTTGAACTAAAAATAATTTCTTTGAAAATGCATTCACTTCCAGACACGGTCTTGCATTAAACAGCTATTATTCGTGTACCTATTAATAGTTTATCCAGACACTCTCTTTTTTCTGTATGTAATAAACCTTATGCTTTTCTTATTATTTCAAATCTGTTCCTTTTGGGAAATATTAAAAATATAGACTTAAAAGAAAAATCACCTGTAACCCTATCATCTAAAGATAAACAGTTAAAACTTTGTTTCTAGTCTTTTATATTTGTATATAAATGCAATTTTTAGTATCTGTTGATATTGTTTTATAATATGCCTTATTTTAATATTTAATCCCATTTCTCAATCACTTATACTCTTTTAAAGTTTTCCCTCAGTTATTTTAATACACATCAATTAGCACATAACATATGTACACTCCAGAGAATTTTCAAAACACACACATTACACACAAACCCAGACTTCCCTGTGCCCACCGTCCAGCTAACAGAACATTCTTCACACACTGGAGCCCTCCCGAGCCCCTCACACACCCAATCTTCTCATCATCCCCTTTTCAGCTGCCCATACCCACCCTGACCATTCCTGTATTGCATTTATCATCTCTTTGCTTTTTGTTGTGTTGTGTTTTGGGGTTTCTTGATTTGAGATTTTACCATATGTTTATATGTTTGTTTGTTTGTTTCTTGAGACAGAATCTCACTGTGTCACCCAGGCTGGAATGCAGTGGCGTAATCACAACTCACTGCAGCCTGCGCCTCTGCGTTTAAGTGATCCTTGTGCCTCAGTCTCCCATGTAGCTGGGATTACAGGCGCGCACCACCACGCCTAGCTGATTTTTGTATTTTTAGTAGAGACAGAGTTTCGCCATGTTAGCCAAGATAGTCTTGAACTCCTGACCTCAAGTGATCCACCTGCCTCAGCCTCCCAAAGTGCTGGATTACAGGCATGAGCCACTGTGCCCAGCCAGTGTTTCTTTTTTCTTTTTTTTTTGGGGGGGGACGGAGTTTCACTCATGTTACCCAGGCTGGAGTGCAATGGCGCGATCTCGGCTCACCGCAACCTCCGCCTCCTGGGTTCAGGCAATTCTCCTGCCTCAGCCTCCTCAGTAGCTGGGATTACAGGCACACGCCACCATGCCCAGCTAATTTTTTGTATTTTTAGTAGAGACGGGGTTTCACCGTGTTGACCAGGATGGTCTCGATCTTTTGACCTCGTGATCCACCCGCCTCAGCCTCCCAAAGTGCTGGGATTACAGGCTTGAGCTACCGCGCCCGGCCTATTTCTAAACAATATGTTGTGTATACTTATGAACTCTGAGGAAGTGTTTGGCTCTGTAGAAATAGAATCTCTATTCTTCTGTGATTGCTTTTCCCCCTTACATCCTTAGTAAGATATATCCTTGTTGATATATTTGGCTTTAGTTTATTGTTTTCATACTACAAAGTATTGTCATATGGATATACCACAATTTAGCCATACTGTCAATGGACATTTGGGTCCTGTATTGTTTTCTGCAAATGGTATTGCATGACCATTCTTGTAAATGTCTCCTGGAGCATATGGAAGAGTTCTCTGGCATCTTCTCTAGGAGTGGAAGAGCTAGGCTGGTGGGCTGGTGGGCTGGCAGTGAACACATTTTTTACTGTACTAACTAATGCCAATTCAGTGTTAAAGCAGTAATGTCTAACATTACACATCCTTGACAACCTTCGTTTTGACTGGCTTTTCAAATTTGCCAGTCTACAATACAATGGTATTGTAGCTTCAGTTTGCATTTTCATGACTTAATGAAGTTAAGCATTTTATATGCTATTTTAAATGTTAAATGACCATTTGTGTTTTCCATTCTGTGAAATATTGATGTCCTTATTTTTTTTGTAGAGATGGGGTCTCACTATGTTGCCCAGGCTGGTCTCAAACTTTTGGCCTCCAGCAATCCTCCCACCTTGGCATCCCAAAATGCTGGGATTACAAGCATGAGCCACTTTGCCTAGCCAAATATCTATATCTTTGGCTCATTTTTCTTTTAGAGTATTTATATTTTATTTTTTTATTCTTTTATATCTTTGGCCTATTAATTTAATCTTTTGACAGTTGTGTGTTGGAAATCTCTTTTCCCAATTTGCAGTTTGTCTTTTTCTTTTTCTTTTTTTTTTGAGACAGAGTCTCGCTCTATCGTCAGGCGCCAGACTGGAGTGCAGTGGTTCCATCTCAGCTCACTGCAACCTCTGCCTCCCAGGTTCAAGCAATTCTCCCACCTCAGCCTCCCGAGTAGCCGGGATAACAGACATGCGCCGCCACACCCAGCTAATTTTTTATATTTTAGTAGAGATGGGGTTTCACTATGTTGGCCAGGATGGTATCAATCTCTTGGTCTCATGATCTACCCACCTCAGCCTCCCAAAGTGCTGGGATTACAGGCATGAGCCACCACTGCCAGCTGTCTTTTTCTTTATGATGTCTTTTAATGAAAAGACATCTTAAAGTATTAGTCAGCTTGTTTTTGAGACTGAGTCTCGCTCTATTGCCCAGGCTGGAGTGCAGTGGCACAATCTCAGCTCACTGTAACCTTCGCCTCCAGGGTTCAAGCAATTCTCCTGCCTCAGCCTCCTGAGTAGCTGGGATTACAGGCATGCACCATCACACCCAGCTAATTTTTGTATTTTTAATAAAGATGGGGTTTCACCATGTTGGCCAGGGTGGTCTCAAACTCCTGATTCAAGTGATCAGCCCGCTTCGGCCTCCCAAAGTGCTGGGATTACAGGCGCGAGCCACCGTGCCTGGCCCCATCTTTTTGGATTGCAATTTGTATCTTGTTGTCTTGCTTAAGAAATCCTTCTGTTAACCTGATATCATTAGTTATTCTTCCTATTTTCTTGTAAAATCTCTAGTTTTATATTAGGACTTGATGTGAAATGGATTTGGACTTAAATGTGAAGGTGGTTCTTAATACGTGATGTGAAGCAAGATTTATTTTTCCCCCTTATGAATATGAAATATCCAATTGTTTGGGATATTTCCCTATTGATCTACACAGCCATGTCTCCTTCAGAACATGCCTCGACAGGCCTCAGTTCAGGGCTCTCTATTCTGTTCCACTGGTCTTTAGTTGTCTTCTCCTATTCTAATACCATTCTGTCTTAATGCCTGCAGCTTTCATAAGTTTTGATATGTGATGATGTAAGCCTCTTCTCTACTGTTTTTAAAGAGTCCTTGACTGTATACTTAAGAATCCACTTGGGATTTTTATTGGAATCACATTTAATCTATAAAATATTCTGGGAGAACTGACATCTTTGTGATATTGACTTTTTCTTTGATAAACGTGGTATGCCTCTCCTTTTATGTCATCTTTAATGCCTTTCAGTATAGTTTTGTGATTTTCTTCATAGAAGTTCTTTATTTAATTTATCCCTTGGTTCTTACATGTGTTATTTGCTATTGAAACAATATTTTAAATTCTAATTTTTTTTTAATAGAGAGGGGGTTTCACTACATTGGCCAGGATGGTCTCGATCTCTTGACCTCGTGATCCGCCCACCTCGGCCTCCCAAAGTGCTGGGATTATAGGCGTGAGCCACCGCACCCTGCCTTAAATTCTGATTTTAACTCTTTGTTG